AAAGAGCTGCATATTTTTTTTTAAATGAGTGATAACATGTCCAAGAAGTTTAAGTACTTGAACAGAGATAGCAGGAAAAGGTTTATTCTGAGGACTTGAAAACATGAATTAACCTTGTAATCTCCCTATTACTAATTTTTGTAAGTTTATTTATTTGAGAGCATGTGTGTGCCAGCAAGGGGAGGGGCAGAGAGAGAGGAGAGAAGGAATTCCAAGCTGACCCCACGCTGTCAGCGCAGAGCCCAACATAGGTCTCAAACCCATAAATGGTGAGATCATGACCTGAGCCAACCTTAAGAGCCAGACGCTTAACTGACTGAACTGCCCAGGCGCTCCAATTCTTTTTGATGTTCATACTGTTATCATATTCAAGAGTTAGCTTTCTATCTGCTACTATATGCTTTTGACATAATCATACTATTTTTGGAAGCTTTTTCACTGGCTCGCTTTTTTATCTCATGTACTAAGTTCCCTGCACCAATCCTGAGCTGACCTTTTCTAACTGAAGTGTATTTTGTATTATTCCTTTCTTTTAGCAAGGAATACATTAAGGTCTCGAATCTGAGTCCATTGGGCAGTTCCGCAATTTTTTCATGGCTATGTCTCTTGTCTGACCCTGGTTTTACAATTATCGAAGTAGTAATTCTTGGTGAGCCTAATGTGTATGCATTTAAAAGAAATCTGAATTCATAGTAAAGCAGTTTAGTAACTGTTGTATTTCTGAGAATTTATTATGCATCAGACATTTTTTACAAGTGATGATTATTTCTCTTCTTCATTTACAACATAAAGCCTATTGTAAGTTAAATCTCATTATTCCCCTAAGATGCTGTTCAAAACCAACCCTTTTTCTTATTCTTCTATCAAAATTTGACCAGAATCATAAAATCACAGAATTTAGCAAGGGGAAGGAATCTTAGAGCAGTGATTTTGGCTTTTTGGATTTTGATTTTCAGCTTTTTGGATATTCCTATATATCACTCTTAAAATGTTTTCCAATGCCATTTAAAAAACACCCACTTTTTGGGACGCCTGGGAAGCTTAGTCAGTTAAGCATCTGACTTCGGCTCAGATCATGATCTCACGGCTTGTGAGTTTGAGCCCTGAATCGGTCTCTGTGCTGACAGCTCAGAGCCTGGATCCTGCTTCGGATTCTGTCTCCCTCTCTCTCTGCCCCTCCTCCACTTGTGCTCTGTCTCTATCTGTCTAAAAAATAAATAAT